GAGAGAGAGAGAGAGAGAGAATGCGGATATTACTTGATGCAAAATTAACTCTCATATCCCATCAGTTAACTTTAACTAATAATTGTAAAACAACGTAGGTAGTTATGAAGAAAAAAATTGACTAGGTCTCAATTCATGTCGAAGCGATCGGTATCTTGATGCAACGCAGCAACATGTAGCGTGGTATTTCCAAAGCGATGAAGCATATTTCTCGGTTCGCTAGGGGCTGCGGCCGCCTAGTTCGGCGAGCGTCGCGACGCCTCACGAGGCGATGCCTTTTTCGTGCCTGTCGGGCAAGCACCATCCCACGAAAACGCGGGGGCGTCCAGACGAGAGCATATAATTGACGTCGCGACGCCGCCGAGGCACAGACGCCGCTCCACCTCTGTCCCGTGCACGGTACGTAGACATAGCATCACGAATTTCTGCTTCACTGACGGATATACATTTTTCTTTCCTTGGAGAACACGATCGTTTTCTGCCTGCTCCCGCGAAGACCTTATCAAGATATCCGCGTGTTATAGTGACTAGCGAACAAAAGTGATAAGCTGCTGTACCATTAGGATTATTCGAGATAACCAGCAACGCAGAGTAACAGCTTCAGCATTCTTATACTATTAGAATCATCCAAATTTAATAATAAGTCTAAATTAAATAATATCTAATATCTGTAATTAAAATAATATCTAAAACAGAGCTTATATTTTTAATTGTTTTCAATTAAAAATTATGAACAAGGTTTCTCTGTGTTTAAGATATTTAAGTTTTAATTCGCAGATCAACTGAAAGATCCAGTTTGTTAACAGAATTATTCAATTCCTTCATATGTTCATATCTACAAGTTATTCATATTTTCATATCTTTTATTGTCTCGTATTTCTTATATGTCTTATTAATTTTCTTTATTCATTATTTTCTTTTAATTGTAATCAATAAATTAGATTTGTGCATAGATTTATGCATGAATTAAATTTGGATGAGAAATGTTTAAAAATATTCTAAATTTTTAAGTTCAAGTACCTAATTATTTTTTATTTAATATGATACTTGCCTTGAAAAAGTTCTTTGACCTATTGCTGAATCCTCGGTAGAAGTTCAAGTTCGTAGCGTTTGTTGTATCCACTGGGATTGATTCTTGGCGTATCGTCAAGCCGCTCGCATCCAATGCACCCACTTGTATATCTATCTTTTGTTTCGATAACAGGCAGAACACGGGCGTCCTATTCGTAATAAATTAATCTTAATTCCTGATTATAACATTCTAATAGCATGTTTAACTTTCACCTACTTGTTAGATAATATTTGAAGAATGAAAATATTTTCGAACCAAAAGTATTTGTAAATTGATTTCTTTTAATCTACCTATAATATTCACAATTCCATTTCGATGATATTAAATAGTATTTAAAAAGTAAATGTTTCATAAATCAATCAGATACCTTTTTGAGATAGATTCTTTTAGTGTAATTAACATTCAATAAATTATTTTTGCAAACTTTTATAAGTAAGAAAATTTGAATATAAATAAGATTAAATTTAACTAATAAAATGTGAATAAAAGAAAATTATTTTGTAAATATTTTAAGATATAAGTTTGCACAATTTAATATCATTTTCAAGTACCATGACAGAAATTTCACAGAAAAGAATCGAGAGTACGACCCAAGTTACAAAATTGTAGACGTAATTTAAAAAAATTAAAACATTAAGAAACATTAAACATCTAGACACATTATTTGTTTATAATAACAAACGTTTAACGAACCAGTAAAATTATGAATCGCGTATATTAAGTTCGTAGATCTTTCGATGACCATAAAAGGGCTCATCTCCTGCGGATCGCACCCCTCGTGCCTTCTCTCTGTCTGTTCCTAAAATTACTCATTCCTCTAAGGATCGCTTCCCTCGACGTTGGTTAACTTTAAACATAGCTCGACCATCTCTCTTGGGTTTTTTCTAGAATTACAATTGGCGAGATACGAGTTGGGATTAGAGTTAATGTTAAATAACGTTACCGGTGCCGATCATAAAAAGCCGCGAATAGACGTGGGGCGAACGGCCATCTCTTCGTGGTCGCGCTCATAGTCGCATAGTTGAGGTCTTCGGCCGTGCAATTGCGTTGGTCCTTTTCCACGGGTAGGCATAATTTTGGCACGCTCGCCGTTGCCTCGCGGCGAGACGTTATGTTTTATCCGTCGTCGTCGTCGTCGTCGTCGGCTACGGCGGCAGCGGCAGCGTCGGCCACCATAATCGTCGCTTGAACTTATTAGGGAGCGTCCGTCGGCCGTACGTCTAAAGTTAGCGACGCGCTGAGCGAAAATAGCGTCGCGACGCTGGGGCTGCTTTGCCTATCGCTTTATAGGCAACTAGGTCAATTCTGGCTTCGCGCAATGCTCACCGGGAACCGACTTTATCGGAGAACACTCGAAATTCGCTCGGCTATCATCAAATGTGTGCAATGATATTCCTTTTTAAATAACTTCTGTTACATCTCAAGCTTGAATTTTGAAATAATCTAGATGGTCCGTTTGTAAAGGATCATGCAAACTTCATTCTTCGGGAAAGTCCTGAAAAATCTGCAATTAGATAAAAAAATTTTTTAATTAGACATGTAATAATTTTTACTATTTATACTCTTGATTTTTAATAATACAATAATTTTTATTCGTAACGAATTGAATAACTTGTAGTAGAATTATTGACTCAATTGCTTCTTTTAAATGAATGTGTAATTAATATTGTACTACTAATGGAAAATTATCAAAATAAAAAAGAAAAGAATGCATTTATGCGCAAATTATTTTTAATTTTATTTAATTTTACTTATAATATTTTTAGTGCTAATGTAATAGCGCTTGTATAATATTCTAAATTATATAATATTAAGTTATATAATACCCCTTTAAATTATATAACCACTTATAATTTATTTTTAATAAAATCTTAATTATTATTTTGCTTAATAAACATATACCCACAATACACAATATAAAAGCGTTACAAAAAAATATATATCTGTAAAATTAACATAAGCTACACATGTGATTATAACTACATAAGCAATTGCAAACTCGATACGGAAATAATCATAGACTGAGGGATTTTGTAATTTCTGTTGCAGAGTGTTAAAATTGAAGAAAAACAACAATGTGTGACGACGAAGTAGCTGCCCTGGTCGTAGACAATGGCTCCGGCATGTGCAAGGCCGGTTTCGCCGGAGACGACGCTCCCCGCGCCGTCTTCCCCTCGATCGTCGGTCGACCTCGCCATCAGGGAGTGATGGTCGGTATGGGTCAGAAGGACAGCTACGTGGGTGACGAGGCCCAGAGCAAAAGAGGTATCCTAACTCTGAAATACCCGATCGAGCACGGTATCATCACCAATTGGGATGACATGGAGAAGATCTGGCATCACACCTTCTACAACGAATTGCGTGTCGCTCCGGAGGAACACCCTGTCCTTCTTACCGAAGCGCCCCTCAACCCGAAAGCTAACCGTGAAAAGATGACGCAGATCATGTTCGAAACCTTCAACAGCCCGGCCATGTACGTCGCCATCCAGGCCGTCCTTTCCCTGTACGCTTCCGGTCGTACCACCGGTATCGTCCTGGACTCCGGTGACGGTGTCTCCCACACCGTACCCATCTACGAAGGTTACGCCCTTCCTCATGCCATCCTCCGTCTGGACTTGGCCGGTCGCGATCTTACCGACTATCTCATGAAGATCCTCACCGAGAGAGGCTACAGCTTCACCACCACGGCTGAGCGAGAAATCGTTCGCGACATCAAGGAGAAGCTCTGCTACGTCGCCCTGGACTTCGAACAGGAAATGGCCACCGCCGCCGCCAGCACCTCTCTCGAGAAGAGCTACGAGTTGCCCGATGGTCAGGTCATCACCATCGGTAACGAGAGGTTCCGTACACCCGAGGCCCTCTTCCAGCCTTCCTTCTTGGGTATGGAATCTTGCGGTATCCACGAGACCGTCTATAACTCCATCATGAAGTGCGACGTCGACATCCGTAAGGATCTCTACGCTAACAACGTCCTCTCCGGTGGTACCACCATGTACCCTGGTATCGCCGATCGTATGCAGAAGGAAATCACCGCACTCGCGCCCTCGACCATCAAGATCAAGATCATCGCTCCCCCCGAGAGGAAGTACTCCGTATGGATCGGTGGCTCCATCCTGGCTTCCCTGTCCACCTTCCAGCAGATGTGGATCTCCAAACAGGAGTACGACGAATCTGGCCCTGGCATCGTCCACCGCAAGTGCTTCTAAGCAATTACGCTCGATCCTATTCACTATTATTATTGTTATTATTGCTACACCTTTCCCTAAGATGTACCGTTCACTGCCGCATCGCTTCGTCTAGTTGGGTCTCCGTTAGTCGAATACTATTGTCGTTATTATTGGTCCGTGGCGGCGAGTCTTTTACCAACGACTATCATACGAGCATATACGTCATCTTTTGTATATAAGTTTACGTCTATGGAATAAATCGATCTTATATTCTCTCTTACAGCCGTTCAATTCGTAATTTTCATTCTTCAATACCCTTATATTTGTACAAATGTTGATCAGCAATACTTAATTGGATTAATAATTTACATTATGTGGACCATGGATCTTCCTCGGGATATATTTTGTCAGTAATGATAAAAAACAATTGGCCTATTAATTAAATATGTTAATCACTTAATATTAAACATTTAATAATAAATGTAATCTCTGAACTTTTTAAATCAAATTAATATAGTATATTTTTAATATTTACTGTTCTTATCACCACAGAAGAGTTATAAACTTGTAGAAGTGTAAAATTATGTCAAATGGGAAAATGCATACTTATATAATGCTGCAACTATAATTGGTGTCTAGAATTCCATGAAAAAATAGACATTAAAAGCTATTAAAAGCTAATCATTGCTAAAAACATTTTCTTCTATAAAAATTTGTTTATTAAAGCCATTGAATAACGAGATAAAATTATTTTAAATAAAAACTTTATAAAATTTATGATTTGATAGCACAGGTAACTGACGTGGAACAAATTTAGAAATATGCATGAAGTACGTTCTGTACATATTGCATTATATTGAATTATCACTGCTTTTTATTGATGTATTAAAAAAAATTAGACTTAATGATAAAACCACCTTAATTTAGCTGATACTACCATGTATTTCTCTGAGTTTATTTCATTTGTAATTCTATAGCAAGATTTACATGCCTAAAAATATATAGATGTTTATTACCCGTATCAACAAAAACATACAATTACGACAATATTACATAAAATGCAAGGCATAATCAAGATTACATAAAACATGGCCAAGGATATCTCAAACATCTGGCTACATTCCAGATGCTTAAAACCCAAAGTACAATTTCGTGATATTACAAAATTTTTTAGCAAAAATTATATAATACAACTAGGGAAAGGTGGCTATATCGTGTCGGTAGTATTATATATTCTCAAACAAGAAATTGAAAATAATAATTCTGTGTGTTTTAATTACTGCCAGATTGATCTACACACACATAATTCATAATTACATTAATTATAAATTCTTTCATGTCTTTAGGTCTCAACAAATTAATGACGGATGTGCAGTCAAATTTCATTGATAAACATGAGAGGCTTCTAAATTTTTTCGGTGAAATCATGATTTTTGCAACTAACTAAATCCTCCAGAGTGATTTTATTCCTGATCTTTCGGGATAAACAAAAAAAAACAATAACTTTCACCTTCAATCTTTCTGCTGGTGAAGATCTGGTGAAGATCTGGTCGTCTTTTCACACTCGTGTCGAAGCTATCCTGACGATTATCACGGCTGAACGTAATGATGACGAGTGAGAGGTGATTCGGCAACAAAAGATGCGCCCTTTCGGGGTTGAAACTGGCCAATGCGAATCGACATCAGCATCGGCTTTGCCGGAGATGCAAAAAGGTAGAAGAGGGGATCTTTGTGATGGCTCGAGCAAACGAGTCGCCCTGTGCACCTGCCAATTATAACAAATTGCAATTGATCGTTAGCTGCACTAGCAATTCTCTTCTGCTAATATGTTTGAATATTATACATTATACCAACGAACCGTGAGAGCGCTGCCAATGTTAACACACGCCAAGAATGCGACAATAATGCGAGTTATTATTCTTGGCAGCGCAATCTTGACAATTTAATGAATGTCTTTATGTCCGATATCTTGTGTAAGGAATTACAACTAAAGGCGAAAGTATTTATTTTTCAGGTAATTAATAGGCCAGTAATTAAACTTGTTACTCCATTCCGAAGGAAGAAATTTATTGCATCGCAAGAATCGTGACTATGCTTGAAAATAGACGTCGCTTCAAGACTCTCGTCGTAGCGATGGCTAGCACTTCAAAGTTTACTTCTTCGAGATGCAATTATTTCTGAAGCTGGATTCTTTCGAGTTTAATTCTTTAAGAGTTTCGATTTTTTTGAAACTTACTTTCTCAAGATTGAATATTTTTAGTTTCTATTTTGTGAAACTTGATCTTCAAATAGTTGATCGTTCGAAGTTCACCATTTTGGACCAAGATTCTCTAGAGTTTGCTTAGATCTTCACTTAGGTCTCTCTTTATACTCGCTTCTTCGAACTTTGTGACGTTCTATTCTTTAATTTTTCGTTCTTTTCCCCGAGTCTTGCTTGTTCTCGGACCTTTCAAATCTTACCCTTTGTTACTCTCTTGGAACCTCACCCCTTCGCCAAGGCCCGCAGTAACAGCCGACGGCCCTGTCGCGTAACGAGTCCTTATTTGGATCCGGGGGCCGTCGGCTACCACCGCGTCGTCGTCGTAGCCACCGCCGTCGCCCGCGATGCCCGTCGTATTCTTCTCTCTCCCTCCATCGCTGCTCCTCTCTTTAGGGCAAACTAAGGACTAGGCTGACTCTAATGGGCGGCACGGAGCTCTCGGCCCGACGTTAACGCGGACAGCCGATTTCCATGTAAGGGGCGGATCGCTATTTTCGGCCGCCGACCGATATGGATAAAGGGACCCCACGGAGCCGGTACCGCGCCACTTGCCGTTCTCGCCAGCCTCTTGCACGACGTTACACGCGACCCTAAGCGATCGTCGCCGATCTCTCTCCCTCGACTCTCACATCAGAGAACGGTAAATCGCCGTGTTTCCTAGCGATCGCGAATCGCATCGACCCTCTTGGTTCACGTGCATCATCTCTGAGGATTATCTCTTCCGATCGGTCTTCTTCGCTCCGTTAAGATCGCGAGGATCCTTGGTACCGGATCATAGGATCGGCAGTGATTCGACTAAATGGTGCCAAGATAAAGCTCAGTAAGCTTCCGAGTGTCGGGAGGGTTGATGGGACGTTTTGCGACAGGACCGATCGGACGATATTTTCCGAGAATCCTCAAGGAGAGCTGTGCGAACCGAGTGCGGTTTGCGTAATCGTGTCAAGAGTGATACCTAGGTGAATGTGCATAAGTGAATGTTAACGTGGTAGTTGTAAAGTTTATTAGTAGCCTATTATCGTCCTGAATTTCTATAGAATTTATTCCGAATACTTGTTACATTTTCAAAGACTTCTTTATCTCTAATTTAAGCATTAACTTGTACACGTAATTATTAAGTTAATTAATCAAATAATATTTCATTAATACCGACTTACCCCGCGAAAATCCTTTGCATCTCTCGGTGTGTATTCGCAGAAAGTAACAGTAACAGCCGACCAAGATGTGCGACGATGATGTTGCGGCACTAGTCGTGGACAATGGGTCCGGTATGTGCAAGGCTGGATTCGCGGGGGATGATGCGCCGCGCGCTGTGTTTCCTAGCATCGTTGGCCGACCTCGTCATCAGGTTCGTCAGAACACTGGCTTCTCATTTAGAGCGATAAACTTCTTTAGTCCAAACATTATAAGTTCATCATAAGACATGCTATATCAATTTTATATTAAAATTCTTTCAAGTAATGTACCATGTGTACGAAACAATGCGTTTCAACGTATTTTTCGACTCAAACTTAAGAACGCTTAGATTGTTCTCCGTTCGTCTGCAGGGCGTGATGGTCGGTATGGGTCAAAAAGACAGCTATGTCGGCGACGAGGCGCAAAGTAAGAGAGGTATACTGACCCTAAAGTATCCTATAGAACACGGTATTATTACTAATTGGGACGACATGGAGAAAATCTGGCATCACACCTTCTACAACGAATTGCGCGTCGCTCCGGAAGAACATCCTGTCCTCCTCACCGAAGCACCTCTAAACCCGAAGGCTAATCGCGAGAAGATGACGCAGATCATGTTCGAGACCTTCAACAGCCCGGCCATGTACGTCGCCATCCAGGCCGTCCTTTCCCTGTACGCATCCGGTCGTACCACCGGTATCGTCCTGGACTCCGGTGACGGTGTCTCCCACACCGTACCCATCTACGAGGGTTACGCCCTTCCTCATGCCATCCTCCGTCTGGACTTGGCCGGTCGCGATCTAACCGACTATCTCATGAAGATCCTCACCGAGAGAGGCTACAGCTTCACCACCACGGCTGAGCGAGAAATCGTTCGCGACATCAAGGAGAAGCTCTGCTACGTCGCCCTGGACTTCGAGCAGGAAATGGCAACCGCCGCCGCCAGCACTTCCCTCGAGAAGAGCTACGAGTTGCCCGATGGTCAGGTCATCACCATCGGTAACGAGAGGTTCCGCTGTCCCGAGGCTCTTTTCCAGCCTTCATTCTTGGGCATGGAGTCCTGCGGCATCCACGAGACCGTCTATAACTCCATCATGAAGTGCGACGTCGATATCCGCAAAGATCTCTACGCTAATACCGTCCTCTCCGGTGGTACCACCATGTACCCCGGTATCGCCGATCGTATGCAGAAGGAAATCACCGCACTCGCGCCCTCGACCATCAAGATCAAGATCATCGCTCCCCCCGAGAGGAAGTACTCCGTATGGATCGGTGGCTCCATCCTGGCTTCCCTGTCCACGTTCCAGCAGATGTGGATCTCCAAACAGGAGTACGACGAGTCTGGCCCTGGCATCGTCCATCGCAAGTGCTTCTAAAAGACACATCGTACCGAGAATCACGTTTACCATCGTCACGATTCTTCTCTTTCTCTTTTCTATTTCCTTTTCTATGCACACGATCATACTTCATTACACGGTCATATTCATCCACGACATACAGAGACGCGGGAAAGGAAGAGGAAGAGAAGAGAGGGGAAAGAAAGAGAGCGAGGGGGGAGAGAGGGCGAAGATTAGGTGTGAAAGATGATAGCGGGAAAAAAGACGGTTAATCAAGTGCCTTTATGTTACACATTTACCAAACTGTATTGTACTTTGTAGTTTATACACAACACGACTGTATGTTTACGAATGCTAATTAATTTATCGATAGTCTCCTCGGCCGCCCGAGCAACGAGTTTTCTTTCGGCCCGGCACGACGGCCCGAAACACATACATACATACGTACCGCACACGAAGATGCATGCTCGCTCGCTGATGATTGCGTAAGTTTGGCATTTGCAACACCTGTAAAGATGATTATCGACAACGACGAGGGACACGGCCGACCATTACCGGCCACATCGACGTCGGCTCATATTGCTGCCCGGCGGATTGTTCTTCTTATTGTACCTTACGATTATAACAATGGTAATAAAATCATATGTTATGTAATAATCATATAATTTAAACTACACGAGCGATCCCCTATACATACCAAAATTCTCGGTGGTGACGTTGCACGTGCGACCTTAAGGGAGAAAGCCGTCAGCTTCGTGCGATCGTAGAATGTAGCTCGAGCTTTTATTTTGCACAAAGGATTATCCATGTCGTTTCGAGACGGTACCTGCGGGAATATCGAATATACACAAGTACCCTGAATATAAAAACATTGGTATTTGCATATTCGGGATAATCGATGCGCAAAGTGCGATGGCTCGCAAATCCATTTCTGTCGGGCAACGGTATAATTCGTATTACGATCTGAAAAAGATTGGTATATTTACTATTTAGATTCTCGAGTCTATTTTAAAGCAAATAACGCGGATGAGTCCTTCATTTCAAACAATTCTTTTTCTCCAGCGTGAACTCGTGAAAAGTGAGAAAATTTCATTGACGAGTTCAATCTTTGCCAATAAAGTGTTTCACTTTTCACGAGCTCGCGCTGGAGAAAGAGAATCGAGCTGGATCGTAATATTAAATATAAACGGTGTAAGATCCGATTAAAACAGATGAATACACAAACTTCGACGGCGGAAGATTTGCCCAGGAAATGTTAAAAAGAGAAACAAATATGCGGCGGCTTCGGGGGTCACGTTAGGCCATAAACGGCCGACGGCCGCGTATCTCGAGCGAGCCGCTTCGCCGCTTTCGTTATATTTGGCGCGTGCCATGTGCCAGCCACGTGGCGTCGCCGTCCCGGGTACAGCCGGGAGGAGGCATGCACGTAACTCAATAGGAGCGGGCGAAAGTGCACGATACAGATTAAGAAATAGCAAAAATAGAGCTGCTATCCGTAGAATCGGCGTAGCGCGATGCGTGTCCCAGTCGGCCGTTCTCGCCCGAGATCACTGGTGTCTCGAGCGCTAAAATTAGCGACCGTTCGCGCGCGGCGCACGGGCAGGATGCCTCTCCAAGGATGTGGCGCTCTTCGAACGTTGGACCCGATCGCGCCGGGCTTCGCATCCCCGGCGTCCTGAACGCCTCCGTGAGTGGCCTCGACGAGGTGTCCGTTTGCGCTCTCGTTAACTAAGTTATAAAAATGAATTTACAGTTGATTTGCGATAGGCCTTCAGCATTGTTGTATAATCCCAGATAACGTGCTTGTCTAAAAGACATCTTCAAGACTTCTTTAAGACGTCTTGATATCTTTTAGACGTGTATGTCTAAAAGATGTCTAAAAGACGTGTTAAAGACGTCTTAAAGATGTCCTGTAGACATGCATGTTATCTGGGATTTGCAATTTGCGATTTCAGATCACTTGAAAAGGGCCCAAATCCGGGGGCCAAGACGTTGTAATCGGTTTTTGAATAAAAACATTGGCCAGTGTAGGTCGTTTAATCTTATGAAATTTGGTTTCAAATTACTGGCGATATATAATTACAATTTTTGTACATACAACTGGTTAGAAAAATTAGTCCTTAGTCAACATGTTTTAGAGATAAATTAGCTGAAAATTTTCAAAATTATTACACGAGAAAGGTTCCAGAAATAGCTCAACTGAAAGGTTTATAAAATATTTTACGTGAAACAATTCCGAGATAACTCAACTGAAAGATTTGAAAGATTATTTTCATGTGGAAGGTTTCAGAAACGTTTCTGTTACATTTCATATTGCAGAACTCTTTCGGAATAGTCGCACATGAAATATGAAAGGTCGAAATGATTTTGGAAACCTTTCTGGAAGCTTTCTGCAACAATCGGTGCTGTATGCCCAGATAGCCAGATCTGTCAGAACAGATTTCGTCAAATGCCCACTACAAATTTTGAAGAGACTGCAGATTGCATGCAGAAACTGATACATTCGACATGTTGCGTGTCGGCAGAAATACAACAAAATCTGCTCGCATAACTGGACCTGTTCGATTTCTGCCGACAATGGCCGCGTTCAGCAGA